TGCCCCCCTGCAGACCCCTACGCCGGAACAGACTGCGTCTTCTCTGGGGCTAAGCTCACGTCCCCGAGTCAGCCTTAGAGGGGGGGTCTAGGGGATAGAGGCAGCAGCCTAGAGGGGCTCTGCAAAAATAAACCTTTTCTAGGCATGCCACCTCTGTGGCTAATTAAATTCCTTCTGCCATGTGGAGGTTGAAAAGGAGGCCAAAAAAAAATGGGGGCAGGTGCCCCTCCTCCCTGCTGCCTGCAGTAATGCCATTCCCAGACTTTTTGTAATTTTTTTTTAATTGCTGCTTGGAGGACCGATAAAACGGCCACTAAGTGAATCGCGCACAGGAGGCTCACGCAGCAAGTCTGCCACTCAGAATCTCTGGGTGGGACCACAACTCCCATCATCCCTCTCTTGCATGACTAAGGGAGGCAGGGAGGCTTATAGTCTTCCTCCCGTCCGGAGGACTTGAGGTGGGAGATGGAGATCCGGTCCAGCTTCCTGGGGTGCAGGATTGTTCCGGTATTTCCGAGAATCAACGGACGGAGAAACGTGCCTGGCTTTTTTTCCTCCCAGCAACAAGAGAACAGGGGCTTTTGGAATTCCTTGGGTGAAATTTGCATGAGAGAAGGCCGGGGGCTTATGCTCAGTTACATTGGGGTGGCATCAGCGCCCTGTTTTCCATTGTAGACGTAGGAGGAGGTAGAGTTCGTCTTGGGTAACCCAAGATCAGGAGGAGTTTGGTGCACCTTCTCCAACCAACAAATTTGATTAAAAGGCATAAGCTTTCGTGAGCTGCAGCTCATGAAGTCTGTTGGTCGGAAAAGGCACGCCAGACTTCTCCTGATTTTCACTTTCATTGCACAACCTTCATCAGCCTCATCCCCAGTGGAGATACTGCAAAGGGACTGTGTCCTAAAACAGTTGGAGAACTTCTCCTTTTTGCCAGAAAAAATCGAGAAAGACCCTCCACCCACTTTCTCTGCCTAGACAATTTCCAAAGGCCGTCGGTGCCCACCTCTGGACAGACCCAGTGGGACTGTCTCCCCAAATCCTTACTCATCCACAGACCCCTTTCTGCACAATACCAAGGCAGGGGCTCACTCTTTACCCTGAACCCTGAGCCTGTTGCCCTTGCTCCAGGACACAAAAAAATGAGCGCCATTTCTGCCCCCCCACCCCACCCCGGCTTTGCACACCAAATCACTTGATCAAATACAGACAAAACAGCCAGAATGAGCAGCCGGGAAAGAATAAAGCGGGCCATTTTTCAAGCTTATGAGGAGTATCACAGCCAATATCTGACTCATAAATTAGGGGACCGAGGAAGCGTCGCTGAGTGGCAGCTCTGAAAATGGATGGGGTTTCGATTGCCCCCCCCCTCCACCCCCGGTTCGGCTTTCTCCCTGATCTCGATCCAGAAGAAAAGAAGGTATAAATTAAAAGCTTTTCTTTGTGTGCTGATGGTGTTGGCTGCCGCCAGGCTCCTCCGGGGTACGTGCGAGGAACGCCGGGCACGTCCCAAGCCAGCCCCTGGCTGCCTCCTCCTCCTCCTCTCATTTGCCGTCAGATCGGGGGCGCTCTGAGTCCCTTCACAGCCTTTCCCCAGGGCACTGTTGCTTCTGACTTGCCCCAAGGGGGTTAACGGGAATGGTGCCCCGAGTCGAGGGCAGCTCCTGCTGATCGCGTGGACAGGGGGCTTGCTTGGCAACCGGGCCAAAGCGGTTTGCCGCTTTGCAAAGGTGTTTTGGGAGTTTCAGTCTAAGATTTCCTAGGGGTCTCCCATCCAAATCCTCACCAGGCCGTCAAATACTAACTCCCTTCCAAATATTAAGCACGGAAGCTAACCTGCTTCATGGTGCTGCTCTGTGACTGCAATCAAAGGTTGATTCTGGTTTTCCAAGCAGTGCCTTCAGCAGGCTTCTGCATCCCAGCAGGGGGGCCTGTTGGGTTTTTAACTTCTGAGCCGGGATGCACTTGGGGGGCTTGTCCCTTCCCCCAAACCCAGCGGAGCCTGCAAAAATGTGCTGAATCTGTGGGTGCTGCCAGCTTGGAACACGAAAGCTTACCTGGCAGCTAGTTCACACGGGCCAAGCAAGCCCCTTGGGCATAAACTGTGCTTTATCTACAGGGCCTGGGGCCCTCGTAACTCACCAAGCCACAAATAAATGAACATTGGGTCGCATGGAGCCAGCCAGCCATTTTTTAACTGGCTGGTTGGTGCAATGAAGAAGCCACCCCAGGACTTCCATCTGATGGGGCGATCCCCAGGCCCTCCTGCTCTTTTCATTTCGGGCTTTGCCCGCAGAAGCCATATTTGAAAAGGCTGCTCCGGAGGGTCTGCCATGATGGCTAACAACCTCTGCACCTCCAGGAGTTGGAGGGCAGCTGCTTGTCACTCCAGGGGCACAAATTTCTGGCGGCCATGGTGACTTCCCACCTGTCTTGACATTCTTGTGTGAATGATGCAAGTTACGTGATTGGAGCCGTGAAATCCTGTTGCCAGGAACATCACTCGTGCCCCCTTTCCCCCCATCCCCCAAAATGTTGGGGCTGGCCCGTGCTGGGAAAGTGCCTTGGACCGAAGCCGTCCCCGGCGCCTCTCGCGTTCGGTTCTTCCTCCTCCCATTAATGACCCGCCTGCTCTTGTCGCTCCCGCCACTGCCAGCCCTTTCGGCGGCATTATCAGCTTATGAAATTGTCAGCCCATCAGAAAGCTTGTTAATCGCGTTCGTCTCCCTCCGGAGAGGTTTGTGATAATCACTTCCCTTCTGGACAGGATGATTTCTATTAAGGAGAGGCAGCCAATGGAGCCGGTGGCTCTTGAGAAGGGCGGGGAGGTCCGTAGTCTTCCTCCCATCTGGAGGACGCGAGGTTGGAGGCGGAGGACGGAGTCAATCCCCTCGCGTGCTCCTTCAACATGGGAGAGGAGGGGGTACCGTGGGGTGCCTCGGCCTACCCACCCCAAGAGAGGGGGCAAGAGCGTCCTCGCTGGGAGATGCAGTCCAGCTTCCTGGGTGCAGGATTGTTCCGGTATTTCCGAGAATGGGCGGACGGAGGTGGCCAACTTCTGGTCCTCACCCAAAGAAAGGCTCCTCCTTCCCCCTTGCTTCCCAGCCGAGGGCTCCAGGGCCATGCGGAGCTCGCAAGAGAAATGCTGGGAGGGCGGTGTTGGGCTGTGGTTGCAGAAGACAGCAGTGCCTGCTGGCCTCAAAAAGCTAACCCAGATTGGTATTGGGGTGGGCACCCACAAGGAAATCCCTGAGAAGTTGCAGATCGCCCCAGAAAAAGGGGGTGGCAAGCCACTTCTTCGCTGCGGCCGAGGAAACTCTGCGGCTGTGTCCAAAAGTTGAGCTCGGCTTGAAGGCGAGTTCGGCCGGAGAAAAGCAAGCTACAGGCGGTTCTCGCGGAGGCTTTCTTGCCTGGGGAGGCAGGGCCCCTCTCCTTGCCAGAAGTCGTGACTTGAGACCACGTTCCCTCCCTCCCTCCCGGCTCCCTTCCAGTAATTAGTTGATCAGGCCTGAGTGATAAATCGTCTGTAGCCCCAAAGGATGGGGACTGGAGAACGGGAGTGTCCGCCTCAGTGGCCCACGGCTGGTCCAGACCACAGGGCCAAAGGTCCAGAGGGGCAGATTGAAGGTCTCTTCCTTTGTAGAGGCTGTGGGACACCAGGTCGAGAGGCTGTGTTCCCCCAAGCTGGGGCTCTCGTCTCCCCCAGCCTGGTCTCCAGCTCTCGACTTGCCCCGCAGGCCCTCTGACTCTGGGAACGTCCAGCAGAGCCGCTGAACCGCTCAGCCAGGGTGTCTTTGCCACCCAGAGAAGGGGAGCCCCTCGAACAGCACCCCGCTTGGTCTCCGCCATTCCCAGCATGTCCTTTGCTCACCGTCCGAGATCAGCCTCTAAACTGAAATCAATTCCAATAACCTGCCGGCATCGACAGATCTTCACAGCATATCCAGGGCTAATTAACAGCCTCTTGGGTCACCCGGATAAGAGTCCTTATCCCACAGCCTCGCGGCCCACTTCGGCACCTGCTCCCTCTCCAGCAGGAAGGACGGAGCTCCCTCTGGGGTCCTGCTGCCAGGCTGGGAGGGGGTTTGCCTCCCCCATGGGTGGCAAACAGTTCCCCTTTCCCTGATTTTGTGCCCCTCGAGGGAGAAGGGAACCTGGAGATAGCCTTTCTCAGCCTCCTGTGAGTCGGATCCTCTCCCTAAAGCCCCAAGCGGGATGGGCAACGCAGTTGGGGGCCCCCGGCCATTCCTTTCCAAAGCCTTGCACTGATCTAAGAGGAGCCTGAGTTTAAGGCAGGTTCCCCAGACAGGGAAATTAAAAAAAAAATTTCCTGCCCAGGAGCCTCTACGGCTGCCTCTAGTGGGGCCAAAAGAACAAAATCGGCACTGTGACATCATGCACCAGGCCCACCGTTCTGTACTTATGTTGCAACACAATACAGATATATAAGGGGCCTTGCAACATTGCAGCATGTTTTTAGAGGATTTGCTCACACAGCAGAATTGCGACGAGCGGGGACAGACAGCTGGCCTGCAGGCCGTTTCCGTCACAGTTCCGCACGTTTGCAACACTCTTGTTTGGAACAGAAGTGAACCCTTCAGAATTCACCGGGACTCGATTCTAGGGAAATGGCTATAGATTGATTTATTTAGGGGGTTGCTTCCTTTTCTAACCTTTTATTTTTAGGGTTGCTTCTCTCTGGTTCTCCTCCAACATTTTTAAAGCGTTGTGTAGGTTTATGCAGACTGTAAACTGACTTGCCCGTTTTAGAGAAAGACAGAGTGCAAATGGATTTAAAAGGAATAAGGGGGGGGGGGGGAGCAAGCAAAACCTACATCTCCCAGCTCCTGTCACAAGCTGGGAGGTGCCGTTCCAGGGGTGAGAGGCCGGGTGGGACGTGCTGGCCAGGAGGCGTTTTGGGGGAGAGCAGCGGGCCGTGACTTGTCTTCGAGCCATCAGCCTGGCATTTTCTGGTGCCCATCTTCCTGCCTTCCTTCTCCCAGGGACCCCCGTGAACCGGATCCCCATCATGGCCAAGCAGGTGCTGGATCTCTACACGCTCTATCGGCTGGTGACCGAGAAGGGGGGGCTGGTGGAAGTCATCAATAAGAAGATTTGGCGGGAGATCACCAAGGGCTTGAACCTGCCCACGTCCATCACCAGCGCAGCCTTCACGCTCCGCACACAGTGAGTCGCGGCCAGGACGGGGGACGCGTCGGTGTTTGTCCTCCTCCTCCCACAGTGTAAAAGCGCCGTGTTAGGATTGGCACCCACTGAAAATAAAGGTGGGGATCTCAAGGGCTGATGAGAGAAAGGGTTTCTTTGCACAGGGCAGAACTAAGCTGCAGAACGTGCTGCCACCAGAGATTTAGGTGATTTTTAAAGGAGAAATCTGTGGAGGTCTGGAAGCTGAACCTGGGCTCCTCCACTGAACGAAACGAGGGTGTGTGCGCATGTGTGTGTGACTAATTTACATGACAATTCATGGAATATCTTGGTGACTGGGGGGGAGTAATGTCACGCACACCATGACATCATCATACGAATGATATGATTTGCACTTCAGTTGGTCTCTGCGTCTGATGGCAGGGGATGTGTCCCTGCGTTAGTTGCTAATTACATCATTGTGTTTGCATGATGATGTCAGGACGTGTGTGACCTCATTCTGGGACCGTCATGGCTTCTAAGAGACGCTGGTGTTTTCTACCTGCTGAATTTCTGGCAGCATCCCTTAAACCTCAGGCCAGGGGTGAGACTGGGGAGGGGCATCGCTCTCCTGCTCGTGCCTTTACGCTTCCTGGAGGCACCCAGTGGCCCAGAAGGCTGCACCGGTTGGGCACCTGCCCATTCCGGCCCCAGCAGACTTCTTTTGTTCTTAGACTTAGTAAACAGCGGTGGGGGGCTCAAAGGGGCTCTCTCCAAGAAGGGGTAGCTTCTGAAGTGCAGAGCAAGTGCCCCCCAGGCCCCAGAGCCAGAACCGTGAAGGATCCCTGCTGGCCCCCTTGGAACCTCCAACAACCCCCCTTTGTTCTCCATCCGCCGCGCAGATACATGAAGTACCTCTACCCCTATGAATGTGACAAGCGTGGGCTGAGCTCCCCCGGCGAGCTGCAAGCCGCCATCGACAGCAACCGGAGGGAGGGGAGGCGGCAGACGTTTGGGGCCACCCTGTTCAGCTACTCTCCAGCGGGCACCCCGGGCACCCTCGCTTCTCCCAAGGTCCCTCTGCCCTCTCTTACCATCGCCACCCACAACGGGAGCCAGATCGGACAAGCACACGCCGTCAAAAAAGGTGAGGGGCTCAGCCTGGTTGCGGGAGGGGAAGGAGGCGGCTCCCAGGAGGGCCAAAGCAGCGGCGAGAGACGGAACCTGCACAGGAACAGCAGAGAAGCAGGGAAATGCCCCCTCCTCGGTGGGCATTTACCCCGTGATCCGCCTGTCCCAGCCCTCTCTCAGCATTTGGAGTGGAAACTTCCTGGGTCAGAGAACTTTTTTCTAAAGTAAACCCAGCATCAAAAAATACCGCGGGGGGAGAGGGGGAGCTCCATGGAGCTTTTTTGATCTGTTTTATTGCATTTCAGACTTTTCCTTGATAAGGGATTTGCCCTACATGCACCAAAATAAGTAACCTCGGGAAAGGATGCAGTGGGCTTTTTTCCCTTGCAAAGCCATTTTTCTCCCAGCTTTTGGCGAATCAGAAGAACTCCCAAGCTCTAGCCAGCTCCTTTCAGCATGAAGTCCCCCTCCCTGCTTGCTGGCTGGCAGTGGGTTCTGGGAGCTGTGGTTCGACATATCTGGGAAGTGCCCATATTTTTCTACCTCTTTCCTCAGCACAGCAGAATAAGCAGGGAAGTGTCTGATTGTGGTGGTGGTTTAACACAACTGGAGTATGCCAAATAATGCATACAGCTGTGTAAACAGGGTGAAGAGAAAAAGTATTCCAGACAGGCTGAATGTGTAGATATTATGTCCTTCCTTTCTTTATGGCTCGCTCTGGGGAGAAAAGGGATGGCTCATTTCCAAGCAACATCTGTATTTCTAGCTTGTTTTCGGCTCTGCCACAACTTCCAGAGAGCTTAGAACAGGCAGGCTGTCAGAGGAGGGGCGCAGATCCCCTGAAACCTAATGCCTGCCCCGAGTCAATTTATGCATAGAATCCCAGAGTGGATTCACACAGTCTGTGCAACCAGGATGATGGAGCACAGGTGCAGTGTTCACACGTACCACGCTCTGCCCAGGCAAATCCTCTTAAGGCTTGCACTGGTGGCCTGGCTCATGCAACCCGCATGCTACAAGTCCCCATTTTGTGTGGTGTGAACTCAGTTGCTAGGTTGGAAGGGGCCAGGAAACCTGAGCACCTGCTCAGTTTTGCCTATCCTTGATGGGTTAATTTGTTCTAGCAGGCACAGCGGTGTTGGCACTTTTCAGGGTGACCCTGAGCCAGCTGGATTCTTACTGTGCTCGCCAGTCCTTTGTAGAAAAGCCTGCCATGAAACCCACCTGGCCCCCATCACAGCCGCCATGCCTTCTTGTGCTTGGGGACACGTGCAGGTAGCAGCAGTGACAGGTGTACCGTAAGCAGTGACTTTCACCAGGTGCTAGGAGGAGGAATCCAGTGTTCCAAATTGCAGGGACCCCATGCTTGTGCACACCCCCTAGTGGCAAGAGCATAGGAATGTGCGAAGAAGGATGCCAGAAAGACAGCCGTGAGATTCTTGGGGAGTCCCTGCGCCTTCTTGGTCCTCTGTCGGACTTCTCTCCTCCTCTGCTGCAGAAGAGAGCCTCCTTTCGCCCGGGGTGCCCAGCCGCATCGCCATACCCGTCAGCCTAGCCGGGCATCACCTGGTGGCAGCACAAGCTGCTGCGTCTCAGGCAGCGGCCCTGGAGCAGTTGCGGGAGAAGCTGGAAACCAGCGAGCCACCTGAGAAGAAGATGGCGCTGGTGGCCGAGGAACAACAGCGCCTGGTCCAGCACGCCCTCCAGCAGAACCTCCTGGCCGTGGCCTCCCAGTTCCCTGTCAACATCAAGGTCAACAGCCGTGGAGGTGGGTTCCTTCCCAGAGCAGCGCCGGGTGGAGAACATCTCAGCTGGCATCTGCATTAGCCCAAGGGCGCCCGCGAAGTGTAGTTGGGCGCAGGAGGCTTGGGACTCGGCCCCCAGGCCAGTTGCTGTTCCTCAGTTCTTCGCAGAGGAGGAGCTGATGGAGGACCAGGCCCCTGTGTTGGGGTGCAGAAGAGACTCAGGGCAGCATGGGCTGCAGAAGGCCAAAGCGTAGGTGCCCTTTGACCTCGTCGGCAGAGTGGGGCTCGTTCCCACAGCCAGTGCAGTGCCTCCTTGCCTGAGGCAGGCTGAGAGCTGGGGAAGGAGGGGGCTGCGCCTGCTGCTCTGTTGACGTTGGGTTGCTGGAATACAGAGAGGAGAAGGCCTTGAGTGAGCTCCTCTGCTGGCCCCAGATGAAGGCAAGGAGGCCGCAGGACCGTTGTCAACAGAGGCGATTCCTTTTTGGGCCCCTTGGTCCAAGGAACTAATTCTTTTCTCGTTTGCATACAAGCATCTTTACAAAACGAGCCCAACCACAGCAGCAACCAGAAAACTAAAGACAGTTAGCTTTTAGACCAGTGTTTCTCAACCTCGGCCACTTGAAGAGGTGTGGACTTCAACTCCCCGCTAGGCTGGCTGGGGAATTCTGGGAGTTGAAGTCCTCACCTCTTCAGATGGCCGAGGCTGAGAAACACTGTTTTAGATCCTTCTTGAAACCCACTGGAAATGTTTCACCTTCATTATTGTGTTGTGACAATGCTGGGGGGCAGGTCATGGTGGTTATCCCTGAATTACAGAGAGGTGGTGAAGACATGGGAGAAGCTTCCTGCAGAAGTTATGGCCAGGGTTTTGCAGCCCACGGAGGAATCGCTAAGGTGCTTTGCACCAATTGCTCGCCATCTGCGCTGGCGGTTGAGGGCTCCTCGGTCTGGAGAAGGGCACGTAGCCGCCAGTTGGCTCATTCTCCCTCTGTCTGCTTCGCCTTCCTCACTCCCCTCTACTGTCTGTTCTCCCCTTCCAGATGACAGGCAGGAAACGGCATTGAACCTGTCCACCAACGGCATTAGCAGTATCAACATGTCAATAGAAATAAATGGAGTTGTCTACACAGGTAAAGAGGGAGGCCTCCCCCGCCCCCACTTTGTGCAGTTGCAGGCTGGAAATTCAAGAGGTTGTAGCAACCGCAGATCTTCTCCTCCAGCCTGGTGACTTTCTGATAAACTCCGTCTGCGCAGTGCTGGGATATGTAGTACCTGAGGAATTGCCCTTAGGTAGCTTTGCGGAAGGAGGCTCTAAGTGAGAGATTTGGGGGTGGGATTGCTTGTGGGGCAAGCAAGTGCCGTGGAGTGGCATTTTGAGATTCCAGGAATTACCCATTTTTGGGGGATAGCATAGACTGGGGTTTCCCAATCTCAGCAACCTGAAGAGGTGTGGACTTCACCTCCCAGAGTTCCTCAGCCAGCCATGCTGGCTAGGGAATTCTGGGAGTTGAAGTCCGCACCCCTTGAAGTTGCCAAAGTTGCTGCCTGGGGAATTCTGGGTCGCACACATGGCCCATTTGGCTAGTTTATGGGCCATACGTTGGGTGCAAAGGAGTGCATTCCGTAACCAGGTGAAGCGTGTTGTACAAGGCACTGTGGTGGACCTCAGGAACAGACTGCACAATTTAAAATTCCCAAATGTTGACCTGCGACACTGCCATTTGCACCAGAGCTCAGCTGCAGGCTGAGCCTCTGAGCCCAGGAGGAGCTGAAGTTCGGGGAGGGATCCATGCCCTGGATTGGAGAAGGTGTGAGCAGCGGTTCTTGTTCTCTGCGATGTGTTGGGCAGTGCAGGCCCCTGCTTGCACTGCCTCAGCATCTCTCTTGCCCCGACAGGTGTGCTGTTTGCCAGACGATCCGGCCTCCTGAGCACTGCGGGAGGCGCCCACAGCCACAGCAGCACAGGGATGCCCCAGAGCCAGCTACTCTCCACGGCATCGCGGGGACGTGCTTCGGCCAGCACTTCGCCCTGAGAGGAGAACCCTGCAGCCTGTCCTCTCCGTCCCGCGGGCAGCAGGCTCCACTCTTGCATCCTGTGTTGGGGCCCGGGGGGGCATCTGGATTTTTGGTTCAGGGTGGCAAGGGGTGAGGCCCCCAGCCCCCAGCTCTGGAGGGGCACGGAAAGGGACTTCTGGGCAGGGCAGAGGACAGGATGGAGAGGCACTGTGGCACTGGAGGAGGACATAAGTTGGAGGAGAAAGTGGCAGAGTGAGCCATGGGGGGGTCTAGCTGAACCATCGTTATGGCTTCTTCTCCTGCATTGATTTCCTTGGTTGCAGTTGGATGCTGGGCGCCAGTTGGGCTCCTCCAAGGACACAGTGGTGGTTAGGAGTCTTCAACTGGGAAGGGGCTGCGTGCCCTTTCTTGCCCTCTCCTGTTAACTCACCATTCTCTACCCCAGCATACATCATGCTCTTAACATGCCTCCTCCCCTCCCCTCCCCTCCCCCAGTCTTCACCACTACGGAGTCTTATCTTAGTCTCGATTTTGTAACCTCACCTCTTCCTCTCTGCACACTCACCTTAGGATGCTTGGCTCAGCCTGTCGGTGGTTTGGATTTGCTGCAAGACCCAACCTTCGATAGCCAAACCAAAGATCTTGGGGAGGCATATCTGTGTGAGTGTGATAGCGGTGGGATTAAATCTCACTGTGCATTGATTTTGGTGACAGCTGCATGGGACACCTATGGGGAAAGCATCTTAGATCGAACAAACATGGGTGGAAAAGTTCTTGGAAGGTACAGCAGACATGTGAATGAATGTGGAGTTTATGGGATGAACCAAGGCAAGGGGTAAAGTGAAAGGTTTGAGGTGAAGGTAGAGGTGCTTCTTGAATGGAGCAGCCCGGTCAAGAGGGGAGTGGGGTGTGTGGAGCAGAAGTGAGGTTTGGGGGTTGAGTTGCACTTGTCCCCATCAAAACTGCTTTCCTCCTGTCTCGGTACCACAGAGTGGAGGCAACTGTGGCTCCAGAACTTCCATGTTCTTCCTTGCTGCAACCCAACCACCTCTTCTCTCCCAGATCCTCCCTGCCCATGATGGAAAATGGTGTCTCCATATGGAAGCAAGCAAACCACCAATCTTTTGGTTGCACTTTCATTACATTGCTTTTAGGGAGTGGGTGGGGTGGGGACAACCTCTTGCGGTGCTAAGGCAGCCCTTGTGGGGGCAGTGAATTGTATCTCCTTTGGAATCTCTGGGTTTGGGGGATGGGGTGGGGATGGGGGATTTATTTTGTGCTAGTGCAAAATGTAAATGTACCAAAGAAGGGAGTGAGTTCATCTACCTCATGTTCTTTCAGATGTGCCAAGGGGGGAGGGCTCCTGTGAGCTGACATTTGGATCCAACCCAGCATGGGCTGGCTGTGCTGCCATGGATAGTGCAGAACGGGTGTGCCAGCTACAGCCGATTCAGGCAATGGCAGCTGGGCCAGATTCTCCCTTCCTATCTCAATTTTCCTCCCCCAGCAATTTGAAACAATCATGTGCTTGACCAAAGACACGCCCTTCGCTGGGCCTGAGTTGCACAACCGCCTGCTATGGTCAAATATTGGTGGTCTGACCTCTGGTGTGGCAGAGGGACAACGCCGCTGCATCGAAGGGACCTCTGGCAGCCCCGTATCTGGAGATGGACGTTACTGGGACTGTGTCTGGACAAAGGACCTTTGGGAAACCCTAACATGGATAGGAATGTAGGGTTTGGATGCTATGTAGACTTCTGATTTTTAAGCTCTTGTACCAAAGATGGACTCATTGGGCACTTGTTTTCCTGTGGCACACGAGGAAGGAGAAGGAAGTGGGCGATTATCTTCTTTCCACCCCCTGTGTCTTTGCAACTTTCTCAGCTTCTTCCTTTTCTGTGTTAAGCTGGTAGGGTTAGATTCTCTTTTCCCCTTGATGTATGTGCTGCTTCCCCCACTCCCCTCCCCTCCCCTCCCCTCCCCTCCCCACAACCCTTCGTTCTTCTCTCTTGCTTGTTTGTTTCTCTCGACATTTCTCTCCATCTTTCTTGTAGGCTTCAGAGTCAATCCAGGCACTGAGGGGAAGCTGGATTGTGGCACTCAGGGGAATGAATGCGAGTATCAATGAGGATGAAAATAAAAATGAAAGTAATTTTAAAAGATGAAATCATTGCAAGAGACTTTTTTTCCCTCCCGCTGGTCTGAATCCGAGTGCGTTTGGACAAAGCAAACGTGGCTGCTGGCAGCCTTCCTGTCCAAAAGGTGCTGCCAAGAGCCACGGAGGTGGCCTTGAAGGGAATACTTGGAAGCCGTTAACAGAAACAAGAAGGGTGGAAGCATCTCTCGAGCCCTGGGAAGGGAGAGGGTGCCCGCAGCGCCTCCCTGACTCAGCGGGGTATAAGAGGGAGGGCTGGAGAGACGCAGTCAGATTGCAAGAATCTGTTACGATCACCTGTCTCAATAAAACATAGTTCTAACATTCCTGTCGAGTGGGTTCCCTGATCTGGTGCACCCCACAGGGCTGATGGGTGCCAGGCACGCTGTTTTGCCAAATTGCAGCTGGATTCTGCTGCCAAGCAAAGGACTTCATCATCGGGCAGCATGTTCAGACCTTATTGCTGGAGGGGGATATTCCCATGGCCCAAGGTCTACCCCACCGTTGCAGTTCTAATTACGAGCAAATAGAAGTCACCCAGGGCAGGGGGTTCCTTACTGGGGGGTTTATGATCTAGTCTAATTTTCACTGAGAAGTTATTCCATCAAGCAGTACCTCAAGGACATTTTCCGCCTGATGACTAGGTCCTTGTCCCTTTTATTTTCACACTTATGAAAAATACAGTGGAAAGTTGCCCAAGGCGAAATGGTTGCTGGCAGATCCAAAGGAAATGGGTCAGTGGTCTCCTCCCAGTCCTTGGCTGGGAGCAGAAATAGCATAAAGCAAGAGGGGCCTTCGGTCTCCTCCCTGAAGTGGGTCAGGAGTGGGTTTTTTTCAGACTGGAAGAATGAGGTCCTGCTGCTGTCACTGAAAAAAGAAACGCTAAAAGCAGTGGCTGGATTCGCCCACGTCCCCCTTGGTGGGGATGGTAGATGATTAGAGAGAGAGAGAGACATATAGATAGATGATAGGTGGTAGATATAGATGATAGAGACAAATAGATGATAGGTATAGATCAGTGTTGTCCAAACTTGGCCACTTTAAGATGAGTGGACTTCAACTCCCAGAATTCCCCAGCCAGCCATGCTGGCTGGGGAATTCTGGGAGTTGAAGTCCACTCAAAGTGGCCAAGTTTGGACAACACTGGTATAAATAGATGATAGATATAGTTAGTTAGATGATAGACTATAGAGATACAGATTTTCCTGTCTTTTTGGTAGCTTGACTCTTCCTCCCATGAGGCTGAGCAGTGTTGCTGCTGCTTCATGGACAGATTCCAGGGGATGTTAGTATCTCTGGACCAGTGAAGTCATCTTTGGCTAAGAAAGGCCTATCAGACCTTTGAAGTAGGCCAGTTTGGGAAACAGCTGTTGAGAGGACTCCAGGAACGCTACTTCATTGTTGCAGAATATAGCAGCAAGCATCTTGAAAGCCTACAAGTGGGATCTGGAGTTTCTCATTCCTACCTCTTTCTCGGGGTTAGGTTGCTCTTCCTCCCGTAACTGCTCATCCATTCCTTCCTTTGGCTGAGCCCATTTATTTTTGGCTCAACTGGCGCGTAAAGCTGCAAGTAGCCCAATTCTGAGGGTGAGATTCTGGAGTTGGCACAGCTGGGGTGGTGGTGGTGGGAATTTCCCCTAAACAGGTCTCTTGCACTGGGGGGAGGGGGGGGCTGTGCCAGCTTAGCCTGTCCTATAGCAGCCGGGGAGATGTTTTGCACATTGCCAAACTAGTGAACTGGGAGAGGGGCAGTAAGGAAACTCCAGCGCCATTTCCTGTGTGCTCCAGCTGGTCCTCTGAAGGAAGCACGAGGAAGTTCCAGCATTTAGAGACTGGCTACAGCAATGAAGATGAGCCTGAAACCATTCTGGAGGCCATGGGGCATGAAAAGAGAAGTGGGGTCCCTGAGACAGAAGATGGGTAGCCAACTGGAGGAGCAACATCCCATGAGGATTCCTACACATGTCACTCTGATGCAGTCTCTCTCAACCTTGGCAAACCTCTAAATATGAGACAGTTGGAGGCCGCCCCCCACCCCCCACTCCCTAGTCGTCAAACCCCTCCCTGACGGTCGGAGGAATAGGGGGGGTTCTG